AGATCTATCTCCAGGATCAAGGTTGGACACCAAAGTTGGCTAAGATCTTATGGACCAATAAATATCTGACCAGGTCACGTAACCCGATCCAACTCCGATCGTGGTCATATGATCAAGCTATTTTCCGAATGGGGTTTAAAGACCGGCTAGCGTAGACAAGGAAGGTGGACCAACATGATGAGGGATCACCTGGCTACCTGATTTCCGGATACCAGATTATCGAATTCCAGATTATCCGTATGCGGGATCTTAAACCAGTAATAGAATCATTTCGGTATGAATTTTGACACGTGGCACCTATTTAGGCATGTAGTCATTATGGCAGGATTTGTGATCCTTAATTGGATAATAATCAAATGAGTTTGGTATTTAAATAACCGCAACACGTCAGTGTCTTCCGTATCTGATACGTGGCCGCCCGCCCACACGTAGCAGCAGATAGGAACCCCAGATAGTTTGGCCGGAATTTACTTCCTCCTCTCAAGACTTTTGCAACGAGGCGCAGCCAAGATAGATTTCAAGCTCACAAACAAGACGGCTTAAGTGGTCGGAAGGTCTCCGACGGCTCACGAGGTCAGAAGATCGATGACGGCCCAAGTGGTTGGTTAGAAGGCCCAATCAAACCGATTGTTAGCGACCGAGGAAAGGTTGCACACACCTCTCCCAACCGCGCAAAGATTTCCGCGTGGTGGAAGACCAATTCCGAGCTTGACTAGATCAAGCATCTTCTCGAGTCATCCAAGGAAAGCGTAACAGCCTATCCACCGGGTACAAAGGTGAGTAAGGTAGCAATCGCACGCTCCCTCCATAAGTCGGCAGTCTAGGACCTGTGAGTGTCGAGTCGTGATCACTCTAGTCGGTGATCGCTGCTACACCATAAGTGCAGCGTAGCGATCTGAGGACCTACCTAAGATTCGTTTTCTTTTCATTCTACTCACTTCTAGCTACTTAACCTCTAAACACCCTTGCCTATCTTCATTACATCAAGACATGTAATAAAGATAGGCAAGGGTGTTTAGAGCTGCTTGCGCATACCCTGGCTGACGCATACTAAAGTTTATGTTACTATACGGAGGAAAGTAAGCAATGTTTACAGGTGCGGAATACAAGAATATAACAGCAGATCTAGTGCATGAGGTGGTTTCTACAGATTAGACAATGAGTATTGTTTGGACTGTTTTGTTTAGATGTCTTTGAAATACCACTCTTATTAAAATAAATAACTAGAATTTAATATTGGCAGCTTCACAAGATTGGCTGACCCATGGCAATCCTTGCGTGCCACAAGTGATCGTCACCAAAAAAGCGCCTCGAATTTTCTGACAAAGTAAGAGAGCAATTTCCTTGTCGATCAACTTACTGTGACGACGTACTTACTCGTCACAGTAAGTTGATCGACAAGGAAATTGCTAGTATCATTATTGTTTTTGTGACATTTTGGTAACTACGCAAAATGTCCACAAAAACAATAATGATTTTAAAAGTACCTCGTGTTGAGTAATAGGCAAATACCGAAGTAATATATTTGATAGAGATCCTTAGTTATCATGGCTACCATGTTACTTCCAAGCCTAGTTTCTACGAGCCGTTTCTATCGTACAAAAAACGTTTCCGTACCTACGTAATTTTATCACCTCATGGTATTCTTCTGGTAATTAGTCTTACCCGCTGACAGCTGCACGACACCTAAAAGTAACATACGCTTACCTTATGTTCCGAAGGAAGTAAGTCACAACCGATGATCAACATCCACGTCCATAACCATACACAGCGGTGTACCTTGTTAACACCGCGACATCGTTCTCCATATCTTCTAGTTCTCAGCAAAAAATTACATGCGATTGAATAAATTGACAAGATACTACTTTTTAGAGTCGCTATTGAAGTGTGGACAAATGTCTCGCAACTGTTGTTTCTACTTCAGAACCAGCTAGTACTCACACGTGACTCTGTCGACACGATGGAGGATCCATCTCCGTTTAGCACGTCCTCGTGTCGGTCTTCTCCCTGTAGGGCTTGGCTTTTGATGGTCAGCGCTTTGATTATAAAAGTTTTCTGACCCTGCTTTAGCTTCGTCACGTATTTTTAGCGAAATAAGAGCTACAGCGCCTATGCCTACCTTGCGAGAAAGTGCTGCAGCTTGTCTGCATCAACGTCCTTTAACTCGTTCAGTTTCTCCGGTTTGATTGCCTTCTTCAAGTCGTCTACCGAGTGCCAATAAGACGCTGCTGACACACCAACAATGCACATGATAACTTTGTCATCTTGTCCTTGACTCGACAAATTTTTGAAAGAGAGACTTGACCTGTGTGATCAAAATTTATCGTCAAATGTGGAGCAACATAAAGAGATTTTATGCTTGATTTGATTGGATAACAATTGCTGTTGATGCTTACTCATTTAATCGTAAAGTTATACTCTACTTACCCTATTTTAAGGTAAGGTATCCTGTCACACCATTATATAGGGTCACAACGCTATCACACCTATTCATGACCTTAACGAAGCCAAATAAAAGGACGGCACACTAATTGCGAGTAATCAAATAAAACATCATCTTTCACACCATACACCTCAGATTTGGCGGACGGAATCCTCGTTTATGCATTTTTTAAGTAAAGATTCGAGCAGGTAATGTCTGTGGGGGGGGGGGGGGCGGTACTTGTCAGGTACTTTTCCCATGCCGTGCTTGCTTAGAAAACACTCAAGTACAAATACTAGTTTAGGACTGATATTACGCGCATGCTCAACGAGGCACCAATGGCCAAAACCTACACGAGATGGTGCAGCATTCTTCTAACTTGTACATACCATGTATTATTATCTACAACACCCATGTCTTCTTAATCTTTCTCTTTTTAGTTTGTAATATGGTTTGAAGCATTCTAAACATCGTCCTCTTTGACTGCCTCAAACACATCGTAGATATTCAATACTGTCTGCATGAGGTAATCCAAGTTTTGCTAGTCGTTCAAATGTACTGTACTTTGTCGCTGCTGCTGATGCCTTTGCAAATAACGTTTCTGCTCGCAACTTTTCTAATTTTGCTTGACGGATCTTTTGTTTGATCAAATGCTTTTCTTTTATATTCACTTAATGTTTTTCTTTTTCCATCTCAAGACGTGCTCGATCTCGCTCGAGTTTATCACGCTCAAGGTCAAGACGTTCAATGTCATAATCTTTTTCAACGTTTGTATATTCGGTAGAGTAAAGGAGACTTAAATAGGTGATGGGTCGCGGGTTTTCTTGCTGCATTTGACTGATTTCGAGCTGATGGCGTCTGCCATCACGGGTATAGGCCACTGTTTCGAGAATGACAGCGACGACCCACTAGTTGAGCGCAAGATTGTCGGCAAATTGCGTGGAAATAGCCTTGGTCGCGTCAAGTATTTGGACGACAGTTGTTTTTTATGCAATAGGTGACAGTAGGGATTATAGACAAGATGTGACGACATGTATCCAAGGCATGAATGACACAATGTTGTGCTTCATGTCCGTATGTAAAGAGAAATGGAGATGCCTCTTTGTGATGTATAAGTAATGGAGAGACTGAATGTTGATGACTGGAGCAATGAATCTCACTTGACTTGAGCACAAGAAGAATCAGCTTTAAGTGAGTGGCATCGACTGTGCGCATCAGTTTCGTACAACTACAGTTGATATCAATGTCAGAAGAATGATACGCACGAAATGCTTGGTGCTGCTTGTACACAATCTTTACATCAATTGTTGCTATGCTATCATACAGATATAATCACATCGTGCACATACTTAGATTAATGGCGCCATCGGTGCGTTATCAACATCAGTGCTCTATATCTTGAATTAGGCACTTGGAAGACAGCATTCGTATACATTTGTAGCATGTTAGTTGCAGTTTTGTAATTTATCCTTTTGATATAAATGTAGCCATCCTCATCAAATCTGTCCAGCTAGCTATACAATGCTCTGACACACAGATTGCACATAATTTGTCACATGGCTCTTTACTTCAGAGACACATTGCATATACACAAACTGTACATAATTATGAATTATCCACTCAGTCAATACTTCGACTATATATAAGAAAATTACGTCGATATAAGAAGAGGTAAACGTTACTTCACATGTTTCTCAAGCCCATTATGTTTCACTTAAGACGCTGACAATGTCTACATGTTACTTTTGCAGAAAAAGACGTGATAACGAGTCGTCCATGCAGCGTTTAGTGGCTCAAAAACTGCAGTTTTGTGCCGATATAAATGATACTTTTGTATCCACTCAGCGAGCTCTAACGCGTCAATATGAACGCTATCAAGTGCAAAAATCCCTTGGTGACGAATTGGGTCAATTACATTTGGCAATAGAGCAATTGACCCATTTTCAGACCTTTTTTGGGACAGAAATGAACCAAAATAAGAAATGGACATATCGCAGATGACGTGTCTGCGACAGACATTGATCAATTGCTAAGTACGATTTCAAGCAGTCACTTACCAGTTACTTCACGTACTGAAAAGATTGTGTCGAATGTGCCTCGTCTCATGAAAAAGGCAACTATACTGGTCGTCAAATGTCGTCAAGCGATGAAGGAAGTAGAAGAGCTACCAACGAAATATCAATGGATACCACTAGTCATATGGAGAATTTATGATCAAGTGATGGAGATTATGGAAAATAACAATGAGTGTAAGTCATTAAAGACTGCAATGCATGATATGATGAAAGTATTGAAAGAGACAAATCCATTCTTCTATCTCCAAGAGCTTTATCAACCACCTCCACGACATTTAGATGAACAATGGGATTTAATTGCATCGGAAAAACTCATGACCACTTCGTCAAGTATGGCACCGTATTTTCAAAAATTAAAGAGTCAATCCTTTGCACTGTTCAAGAAAAATGACTCGTCTGTAAGGATCAATTATGGATGGAATCAATTACGAGAAACACTTGCTTTCGTATGAAGAGCTGCAAGACATTTTCATTACTTGATTTTACATTTGTATACAATAGCAATGCGACGTGAGGAGATCAATACGCATGCTGGCATTATTTCGGAAAAAGCTGCATGTGGAATGCTTAGTGACGATGCAAAGCTGAGATCACGGCTGAGATTATGTCGTGCAAACGCCAACTCAGACGATTATTTGCTCAAGGAAAGCTATGAGTGGACACCGGAATTACTGGTTTATCTCGATGAATGGAGACAGCATCGAGACAATCAACGAATTTAAAATTTAGGATTTCATCATAGAGAGCAGTCACATGATTTTCTACCTCGATTTACAGGCGAAGATCAGCCAAGGCGGAGCAAACGGAAACGACGCAAAGATGTACTTGCTGAGATTGGACACCATTTTTGTCGAGTACACCGCGTGTGGCAAAGATCAAAGCTGGGTACTTCCCGTTTTGAATCAATGAAAATTGAAGAAATGGGCCTATTGGAGAGGACAATCAAAGGCAGCTTACAGGCGGTGGTCGAATTGGTCTACAAAATGATGTTAGCTCGCTGGATGGAACGAAGGAAACGACCCGCTGCGTGGTGGACATCTTTTCAACTTCGTGAGAGAAATTGTTTTGGCCGAAAGCATGAATCGCTCGTTCATTTTTCTGACAACTTATCTACAGATTACTTAAATAAGGATTCACAGGCAAACAGTACTCAAGCCGCTTTGTCAGATATTGTCGAGCTCAACGACAATTTACAAGATGCAATTGACGGGGAATCTGTCGAACACAATAAAGTTCGACGGTCTAGTGTGCAATTACCTACCGTAGGTGGTTTCCGACGCCCTTCCACGGTAAATTTGGTGAATCATCCATCGGGATCAAGAGAGAAAGCGACTGAACTATCCTCATCATCGGACTTCGTGATCGCGAAACCACTTTTGTGCTCCAAGCCGATCCGAGATTGCGGCTTTTACCCGTGGACTGAAAAGGACGTTGAGGCCTTCACGCACGACGCTAAGCGTATAGCCGATGTACGTGCCGCGATGGTGGATCTCTGCGACCGGCTCAACTGTCGGAAGGTCTCCCGTGAGGTGGCATGTGTTACTGAAACTGAGACTAGACCAGGTTTTGGAGACTCTGCATGTAATGCATGGCAAACGGCATGCATAGCAAGTCACGTGTGTACGCTAACTAAAAAAGGCAGCTTTGTTTGCTGAGGAAAGAGAAGTAGTTGAGGTAGCGTCGGCGCTTACCATGAAGCGTACATTACCTGTGACTGGGGCTAACCCATCCGTGATAGAAGACAATAGCGACTCATCAGCTTCGCACGTAACTTCAGACGAACCAAGTATTAGGGAGTTGCAGAAGAGTGTTCGGAATGCACATGGCAGCGTTGCAGATCTGCTTTCTCTGTACGATGGCCAACAGTCGGCTGAGTGGCGCGATGTTATTTTTATCAACTGGACTTGCCACTGCTCACCTACTGGATACGATCTTGCAGGATGGAGTTGCTCAGGAACCGCTTGTAGACAGTAGACATCGCGGCGAGTAGATAATGGAATATTGGCCATTAGTACAATACTTGACCGATCGTTCGCTGACACTTACCTGTGCGCATGGAATCAAGTCATGACATTGCGATGTGTGTGGATTTGAGTAGTCCTGGCGTAATCTATCGCAGGTTCCACTTGATTTGCTGGTATGTTGTGAAGACTCATTTGCAAAGAATGCTTTCAATTTGTTATGCCCGATCGATGAAGCTTGTCAGCCGATTCTTCTCATGGCAGCTCTCACTCAAGCATCGCACGTTCCAGTGGCCGGTATATGTTCCTGCTATCAATTACGCTTTCATGGATAAGATAAAGACAATGTTAACGTCCTCATTACGAAGACAACCTGTATGTATTTGCAGTACTTCGATGCATCATGATCACGAAAGGTGGTTCCAAGCGCGTTGAACCGCAAATGCTCAAGGGGCTTACAGCGTGGCTACATTGTTGAGAATGTGATAGTTACCGCACCTGCTGTAAGATGCAACTGCCGACTCATACGTGACACCGTCTTTTGTGCTGAACCCCGACGTGATCCACGTCCCAATTGTTCGATCTTGGCCTTGCAATAGATACACATTGTTCTTGTCTGGCTCGGTGGCACCAAAGTACTTGCAGGCCTTCACATAGAACGCATTGATGCATGACGGGGGGGCTCTTAAGGTGGTTATTTATGTGAACGATGCCATTGCGAACACTGTTGAGCATCTCACAGTCACCAGCAGCATCCCCCGATGCATAAATTGGAGCTGTGCGATTGTGATTAAGTTGGGGGATGCTGGAGACGATTGCGGCTTTTTCTGGACCCCAAGTAATTGGATAGTTCTCTACCGTTTTCTAGTGAATAAACCCGCGTCGTTTGTTGCGAAGCGCACAACATACACGTTGGTATTTGGTACCATGTTGCCAAGTCCGATGAGGTTGCTTGCTTCGGCAGCAAAAAGTTGTGGAGACGCACTGATGACATATACCTCTACTTTAGCAGCACGCAATGCACGCATGGTTGACTCTTGTCCATTGAAAACGCGTAAACCTTTCGAGTACTTCCCCTCAACTTTCAGCTCACCTGTTGATGTGTATGATGGATTTTGAAGCGATTCAGCGAGATTCCAGCGAATGCTGGAGCGGATGAGAGACCTGATCTCATCTTCCGACATTCCAACAAGCAGTTGTGGGAAGACAGTCATGGCAATTGTCATTGCGCAGTCAGAGTGATCGTTGCCTCCGTCTATGACCTCAAGGCCGAATGTCAAGAAGGCAAGTTTGGCGCGAAAGTTGCTAAACTCCCGTGTTTTCTTGACATCATGAAGTGACATGGGCTCTCTGTCGTTTGTCAGATTGTAGATGGGCCCGATATACGAGTCAAACAGCATCTGGTAGTCTTTACTGGTGGCGGAGAGAACCGTGGCTAGAGTCACATTGGCACCATTGACATCCTGACCTAGCACTGAGTTTGTGCCATTGATTAGACAGATGTTACTGCTGCTGGCAGTGTAGCCGAGGGCAAGAAGGGTCTGGTCGTATCCGAAAGTTTAGGTTATCAACCTAGTACAGAACGGACGTGTACGAGATATCACCGAACATGCACGTATGTCCCAGTCAAAGACAGCGTAACTCACGATGTCTTTATGCTTGACATTTGTCAGTAATTTGGAGACCATGTCGTTGTTGTAATCGGGGGCTTCGGCTGCGAAAAGCGAATTGCTAGCCGAGACGATGATCAATACGATTGTGGAAAGAGTTATCGTGGCGAACACGTCGATCATGATAAATGAATGTCGGGTGGGGTGAGGCCAATTTGAAAATGAAGATAAGGTTCAAGCTCGCTGTGCAACCGACGTCGTTTTGGAAGCTCGCACAGAAATCTTTTATGAAACGATGTTTGGGCCAAGAAGTCCAAACGTCGTCTCATGACTTGTTGCAAAGTTCCACTGCTTGGGACGTGTGGAAGCAGGAACATGTTGTCTGACGACAAACCAAAGGCGATCGAAAGCAATGGTCTGTTGGCTGCCACGATCTTGTCATTGCCTCTTGCACATCAAGAGACGTTAATGATGACCATGAAGGACAAGATGAGACGAGGCATACTTGAGACAAGTATGTTTTGAACCCGAGTAAACATTTTGTAATACTAATCAAAACGACGTGTGAATTGTGTACCTTTTTGCACCATAGTAAACAAATCGGAATACTAATCAAATCGCATACTAATCATATCGTGCAAGTGCTTCTAAGCTGTCCACGAACGATAACGATACTGCGCGTGTTTCTTGATCATATGAAGCTATCAATCCTTTTGCTTAACGCCAAGCTATAAAACACTCACACTAGGTCACAATTCCATCTTGCCTTTGATCATCTACATCACAGGTTCCAAGCGGCTTACACTATCAAATAGCGGTATAGGCGCTAAGAGTGCGCGAGATTCCGTCATGAACGTTTGGAGTTTCCAGCAAACACCGGCATTCGATATCTTTCAACAAGTCAATGTCATTTTGCAGTATCACGTCCACAAATCATCGCCGCTCGGACGCATACATGTTTCTGATGTTCCGGAAAATTTCAGCCGTTTGCCGCGCAAGCTGCAGTGATTGCATCTGAACTTTCTCGCGCATGCGAGCAGACCGTGGTCTATGGCGGCAAAGCTCCTGCACGTCCTGTTTCGTGACTGCCAATAACTGAATCAAATCCTTTAGCTCAGGTTGTTCTGCAGTTATACCAGTGTCAATATTTACGTCTTCAATAACGTCGCAGGTGTCTGCATCTTTCGACGCAATGGCTTCAACATGGAACATAGGCTCCGAGGTTGCATCGTCTGAGCAAGCATTTGCATCATTCACGCTCGCTGACGTCTGGCAAGATGGTGCAGCTTCCATGCTAGAAGTGATTGTTTCATTTTCTGATCTGCCTGGTTTACCTACTTCAAGCTCTGCTGGTGTCACGTGTTTTTTCTCATCGGGAAGCTGGTTTGATGCAGAGTGCAAAGCAAGTTTCTCTGAACCAGTAAGAGCGTCTCGAATTAGGATCTGCGCACGATTCACAGCTGCAAGAAGCTGCCTTGTCGACGAGTCAACCGTCGTCTTGTTGTCATCATTATCCTCAAACCTAAACTTCTGGACCTCCTGCTTCATCATATGGTTTGTCACAGCTGACAGTGCGTTCACTTCAGCACGAATAACATACACATCGCTCCACCGAAGTAGATATGATACCAAAGTTTGTTGGTCCCAGGAGCAGATGGCCTCAATACTCAGTAATTGAGGTTTTGAGGCAATATCCACTTCCATTGCATCATCGCCTTGGTTGAGTATCGATAGCGAGGTGACTTTACGGTTCCAATACTCCTCAGCAAGACGCTGCTCGACCATTTCGGCTGCCACATCATGACCACCACATCTAGACTCGTAATTACAACCAATTCCACGACTCTCTGACACCCCTGGCGTTCGTGACTGAGAGCAAACAGTTGTACTCAAGCTCCCTTCACTTCGATCGCTATAATACGCATTAAACTCCGTAAAATGAATACTTCGAAGCTGCTCAGGTTTATCCAGCAGGCGCACTGACCATAACGCCTGCAAATGTTGGGCATGAAAATCAAGAATCTTGACTATACTAGCGGTCACATTCGACTCAAAAGACATTACCCGATCTAATGCCACAGCCTCGAGCTCGTCAGTCCACTTGAAATCATTCCACAAACACACGATATTAAGCAATTCGTCACAGATGCAATGAAGAAGACCATTGCTGTCATATTCAAAATCAAACGACAGACATTCCACACTGCGAAAATAACGGAGTGGAAACAGTGCAGCTTCCGAGATTGCTCCCAAACCAGCAAGATCATCACCGACTAAACTTTTGCTGTTGTGCCGTTTGACCAGGCTTTCTCGATAATTGTATCCCCAAATATCAATGCAGAGAAGCAGCTCGGGAAAGAACTCGTACGTGTCCCGTAGAAGCTCTTCAGCTGGTTCGTTTGAACTGTGTTGCTCCTGCGAAGTCTGTTGCTGATATTTGTGTGGAACCACAAGCTTTAACATTGACTTGTATACAACCATCTTTCGCTCGAAATGGGAATTATTCAACGCAATTGGAAGCGATTCAACCTCTTTGCAAGTCGCGTGACCCTTTACGCAATACAAATGTGACACCAGCGAGTGCAGCTGCATCGCAACAAGATGCAATTTGCGGATAATTGAGTTCATCTTCTTGCGATTGAGGACTTCTTTGCCTCCACTGCTTGTACGAGCCAACGAATACGCCACATTGTCAAAAGACTTCATCCGCGAGCTGATCTGTGACACAAGTTTCCGCTCCCACTTCAACGCTGACGCGCCCCGGCATCCGAAATCACAGCCTGGCAGGGGGGACGAGTGCAACGGCGACGAAACATCAACATCCTTAGACACATTCGTCGGGTGCAAGTAATAGTAAGGGTCCATCTTTGCAATTTCATCCAGCAATCGCTTTAGCGTTGCTCTCATAACGTACGTTTGTGGGCCAAAAGAAATCACGCGCTCTAGTAGGGACCAAACAAACGGCGGCAGCTCGCGAGGCCAACGAAGCGACCCGACTTCTTCCATCGTGACGGCGTCAAACTTCAGAGTACTCTTTTCAGAAGAAATCTGCGCTGCAAAAGTCTCTTGTTCGTCGGATTCACTTGCCAAGTCAACTAATGCTGCTTCTTCAAACCAGTCATCATCCTCCCACACTGCGTCATTTGCAACATTAAGTTTGTCATGGCACACATCAATGTGGATCGGTGACTGATTATTGCTGGTCGAGATAATATCGTTAGCCTTGACAGCTTCTACCGTGCTTTCGATAGCTCGATCATCGACAACAGGTCTGTCCACAGCAAAAACATGCTCTAAGCCAGCCTGCAACGCATCGGCTTTTTCTTGCAGTGTCTGCTCATTTTGTATCGATATAGTTTCAAGGCAGCTGTCAAGCTTGCCCATTAAATCGTGTTTGCGAGATGCATCCAAACCGCATGAATGCGAACCAATGTGACACTGTAGATCATAAACAACGCCGCATAAAATTTGCAGTCTTCGGCAACTTTTACGGCTCATTTCTACTTGACGCAACTTGTCTTTCTGTGCCAAAAGCGATGTCTTTGCAATCATAAAGTCAGCCTCCACATTATTCAGTCGCTCTAACGATGCAACGGCATGATTATTTATACGAATCGTATCAGTGGCGACGTTACTAACAACCAGTTTAGTAAGCCTTTCTTCGTTCAAACTGCAGTCGTGCAGCGCCTCAGATTCTGGAACTACTGATACCTTACAAGGTATCACCTTTTCATATGAAACTTCAGCAGCATCAGAAACTGCTTGCGTATCCTCAATGCTTCGTGCAGATACCTCCATAGCATTTCCTGCAGTACTGTGCATACTGTAGTCGGCATCCTTCACAATAGACGACAAAAAACTCTCATTACAGCTTTCAAATGCTTCCCTATCATTGTTAGCAGCAACTATGTCAAGTAAAGATAATGGAACATGTCAGTATATACAGAGGTTGAGCCGTACCTTGTCGGTGAATTTGTTAATGTAATCGACCTTTGTGATGATATCTGCGCAGTCGTTTCTCCAGTTAATCCATTCGGGCCCGTCAAAACCACCTCACTTTGTGAAGCGTGATCGACGATATGATCGTCGGTAGAAGCGTTATCGTTTGGAGATTGAGGTTTATCATCCCCTGCGCTTGCATCTTGTAGCTCTGACAGCGTTTCTCTTACTAAATCTTCTGCATCCTTGTTCACGTTAGAACTGGCAGACACTTCAACATCAAGTTGCAATGGAACTTCGTTCGCAATACTATCTGTGTGATCAAAATCCAGACCAGCATTGCTAGTATGAGCCACATTTGGACTCGACGGCGTTAATCCCCCTTCAGCACGATTTCCTGCAAAATTGCCCGTGTGGCCTGAAAAAGAATCGGTGTCAGCATTATCTACAACTTCATCAACCTGACCAACCAGGGCCGTGTGAATATTGGAAGGCGACGGAGACATGTGCACACGATTACGCGTCTCATACGCTAGGTCGTCAGACATCTTTCTGCTGTTATGTGATAGTCCTTCTCGTAAAATACGACGTCGTTTGTACATTTGTTGGGATCCACGTCCAGCAGGACTGCTCCATAATTCTGCGTTTGTACTATCAAAGCGTCGTCGTTGGCGTACAACCGGAACCTCCACAGGAAAATATTGTAGAGGATGTCCGTGGACAACATCTTCCTCTTCGTCTTCAGTCATCCATTCATTGTCTTCGTCATCATACATGTAGTCATAAATATAAGGCATCCGATGCCGGTAAAAAGCAGGTGGCGGTGGTCTATCACTTCGCATGTTGCTAAGCGGGCGCTTATAAGTTCGGCGAGAGTATGGACGATGCACAGAATGATACTCGTCTGCAAAATCCAAACCTTCATTTGGGCCAGCATTTTCATCTGTCAAATCAGCAGTCTCACCGTATGCAAAATACCCTGCATCATTCTCATGTCTTGGCTCATCATAATCATTCAAACTATCATCTGTTTGTGCGACGCGCTTCTGTGCTCCTGGATAAATATGGCGTGATTGTCCGTTACAAGCACTTCCATATAACGCTTCATTTTCTTCATGTTGGAAAGCACATCCGTACATTCTTGACCCACCTTCACCCCACATTTGGTCCGAATAATGTCGAGGCATCCATCGAGTATGTTCTCGATATGGAACTCGACGTCGAGTAACAAAATGACTTAATGACTGACCTCTTCTCTGCTGTAAATACAAATCTTCCATTCCATCATCATCATCAGCAGCAGCAGCAGCATCAACGTCATCAATACGTCTCTTACTTGTTTTATTCCTCATCATCTCGTTCTTTTTTTTCATCCATTTTCATGTCTCTTACTTTTCTCCATCTCGATCGTTCACGACGAATCCACTCTAGTCTACGAGACTCTAAATCCATTCTCTCCATTTCCCGACCAGTATCTTCCATGTCGGACACATAAGGAATGGTCCAATTGACAGGACCACTCTGTCCTCTTCTTCTCTCCATGTTTGTTACTTTATTGGATTGTCGACCTTTTCTTGTCTCCATGTCTTTTCTCTCGTCCAATATTTGGTCCTCCTGTCGTCGTCGTGTTGTGTTGTTGTGAACACTTGCCTTTTTCTGTACATGAACTTGTACTTTTTCTACCAATGTCCGCAATTGTCTCGTTGCGTCCTCTAATGTCTCACTGGAATCTGCAGCTACTAAGAAATTCATCAAGTAGCTGCGACATGGAGACACTTGTTCACATTCATCTGGTGACAGAGCGCAGTAATCAATGGTACAACCGGTACTATTCACTATACCGTTAATACTACGACCACCATGTTCACCGTATAGATACGGTATTAAAATATCCGGATGCATCCGCGTTGTTAACCGGACAGCACGGACACGTTGTGCCGCGGCTCGCATTGGATCACCCATGACACGCGTGTCATTGTATCGTGAAGCTATGGCTCGTTTACTTACTCGCTCTTGATATAGCAGTGGCGTTTTTGCGACGTTGTCCGTAGAGACGACGTCTTGTGTCTCAATATGGTTGGCCCTAGTAACTGCCATGATTCTGGCCAAACGTTTAAATGACTTAGATAATGTGTACCACATTGTTATACTCATTTGACCATCACTCATTTGACCATCACTCATTTGACCATCACTCTACCTCTTTTTTTTTTAAGAAAAGAGGTGTAATTATTACTTTTTAAGGTAAAAATTAGCATTGTAGTGACTCTAATTTGACTCATAAAACAATGGAAGAAATGACACGCTTGCGTGAGGTGTTAAGTGCTAGTGATAAGCAAACAAAAGACTTTTTACAACCACTGCTATCTCTTCGTGGTGTACAGGATTTATTATTAACATTTATTCGAGACTCATCACGATCCTTTGAAGATTGGGTATGGGATCCTCAAGTACGACAAACACTCTTGAATATAAGAGCCATGGAACCTCAAGTATACGCTTGTCGTCATGACGTGGATCAAGTGTATACACGTGTGGCCGAGGAACGAATGGCTACAAGGACGCAGCAATTTTTATGTGACGACACACCATCTGACTTGCTCGCACGAGTGAATGCGGCACAGAATGATGGTAAAATTAAGTTTCAGAAGAAAAACTACTATGCCGCAAAAAATGCGTTTTTAAAGGCTCTCGAAGCACTACTGGAGCATCAAAGGAGTGAGTACTATGGGAAGACTATTCCTGTGATAGAATGGGATGAGATGGCTTTACAAATGCGATATGTGACACTCTGCAATAATATTGCAATCTGTGGCATGAAATTGAAAGATTATTCATTGATTAATGAGTATACATTCAAGGCATTAAGTGTTGATCAAGCATCAACAAAAGCATTGTATGCACTGATTAAATTGAGAGCCATGGAACATCGATATACTGAGGCAAAGGAGATTGTGGAGAAAGCATTGACGATGTATCCCGAGAACGCTCAATATTTACATTTAAAGAAGGAGATCAAGGCAACAGAATGGAAAGAAGCGTTACAACAGGCTGAATTGGCTGAAATTCGAGCAAAACAATTGCAAACAGCCATGGCAATGCCAAAGAAAGCTACATTGACAGAAGAGGAACAGGAGTTGCAGTGGAAATTGGAGATGCAGAAAAGAATCGATGAGACACCTTTACCTACTAAAGAGGATGATACTTTTGCCGCGTCGAGACTGAACGACTACTTTACGAAAACGAAACAAAGATTGATGGTCGACATTCGAACTTGTCACAACTCGAACGCAGGTGAAGAAGCTCTGTTTGAGTGTGCTATTGTTAATGGTACGACGGGTGAAGTTCTTGCAGCGAATGTCCAAGGTGCTTCCAAGAAATTTGTAAAGAATGAAGCTTGTAAAATTGTGATTGAAAAACTCTGGAATGACAAGCAAGCGGCTGATAAACTTATTCCAGAGGATATGGCATACTTGGAGAGATTTGAGCGTGCAAAGGCAAGTGGCCACCCATTGGTGAAGGAGGCTACTGTACCGGCAAAGATAAAGCAGACACTTAAGAGCTCCCCACAGCTGCCTACACGTGTAAGTTGGCTGGAACGTCAGCTTCCACCGTTGTCGTTGCTGAATCAGCTTACTCAACGCGGAACTCTTCAGGCTCGTTTTGACATTGAGGATGTGTCACCAAACAAGGGAGTGACGGAATTTAAGTGTGTAGGCTACCTTGACGGCGACTACGTTGCTACAGCGAACGCCATCAGCAAGAAGAAAGCTCGTACGGAAGTTGCTCAGCGGATGCTTGCAGCTGCATATGAAAAGAACCTGCTGATGGTTTATGATGGATCGACCGACGAGGATGAAAACGGAGCTCATGACGAAAAGAATTTGGACGGGAGCGAGCATGCAACGGCAGACTGAGGGATGAAGTTGCTGTATTTGCGAACTGTAGACTGCGTGGACAACAGCTATTTGCTCGTAGGATGGATGCTATCAGTGTGGTGTCATGGTCTCAGTCAATTCTTGTTAAATGAATGCGCTTTTAAAGTGTTTCAAAAACGATGTTTTTATGTATGTGGTTGCATGAATCACTTCTACCTCGTTCTTGGTTGCTAATCTACAAAATGTGACGCAGGATTTGTCTCGTATGCACCATAACTCGAAGATAAAACCCTCCGTGCCAGAAAAACACCTGAATCAATCAGCGTGAACATCAAGCGACAGTTGATAGACCTTGTGTGCACGTCGTGCACGCATAAAGTACTTGACACTCATACCAAAGATACAAAGGTACAAGAAGGCCGCTAGGAAAATACTTGTCGCTAGTGAGGACTTTGGTTTTCCTTTCGGTGGTCGAACTTTAATGTATAACGAATTGCTGCTTACAATGCATCCGACAATGAACTACCACACACACACACAATCATAATCATAAGCACCAATAGTTTAATCAAGTCAGTCTATCAAAAAAACAACTTTCAACATCAATAGACAATGCCTTGGATAGTTAGATATAGTTGTACCAGTAAGCAAAATCCCGTCAAGGAAAAGATTGCACAGCAAATAAGACCTATTGAGCATCACCATCATCATTAGTACGTCGTATATATACACACACAGTCATACTCCTTCCATTAGTGTAATCAATATCTACTTCATCAATTATTTACCAGGATGAGTCTGTGGTCCTTGATGTTGTTTCGCTCCTTGTGCCAAGAATTCTTCTAAATCTGATGATGTATCTCCAAGATCATTACTCTCACCACTTCCAGGTGATGATGATCCCATATGAAGATGTTTTAGATTTGCATAACCAGCTTTATCACCACTTACAACCGAGACAATTTCCGTGCGTTCAAATGTTGCAGTCATTTCCCTTCGTAGTTCACCGTAGACATTCTTCAAGCGTGACATAGTCGATACAATACACAACACAACAAAGGCAATCCTCAAGTCGAGATTAGTAATCAATTGACAAGAGCCAGTGAAATTCAAAAATGCGGTCACGGACTGATAGAAATGATGAAAATCAAATAGAAATAGAAAATAAGATAGAAACGCATGTGAGTCTTACGATAGACCCCAACTGAAGGGGCGGCTGGGTGCTGGCTATTTTGTGTCTCGTGGAATTGTAATTATCACAGTTCGTGTCGATTGGGGAACGACAAAACAGTTTAGAAATACAGGACTAAAATAGAAAATAGTCACGTGGAAGGAATACAATCGATATGAAAATAGAGTCTTGTCATTAATTCTTGGTTCTGATTTTTAGCCAATCCAAGTATGACAACAATATTTGGGCTCGAACGCAAAAGTACCAAACGCAAAAGGACCTATTTTTCACGTAATGTGATATTCATGGATACTATTGCAATATTTCCAATTCATCGTAGGGTCCTTTCAAGTCATTGCTCAGGATCCACTCAAGTTTATTTCATCGTATCATCCAGTTGGTACTACTTCACTCGACTATGAGCTCTCAAGGCAACGTATTTTCAGCGCTACAGCCAGAGAAACGCAAGAAAAAGACAAATGAAGTGCCAAAGAATACGATGTTTGCGTCTTTTGTGAACAAATCATCGACGTCTGCATGGGGCGATGACAGTGATGATGAGATTTACGTTGCTGCTACTTCAGTTACTGAATCATCAGTTGTTGCTGAAGAAGGAGAAGAAGATGAAGACGACGATGATGAAGAGGATGAAGAGGATGAGAGTGAGGATGAAGAGCCGATGGCAAGTGTAGCTCCCAAGAAGACAGTCATTCCTCACCGCACACTATCTAAGAAGGAAAAGAAGGAGTTGGAAATGAAGGAGTTTGAAGCGGCACTGGCTGATCTTGGAATACAAGCACAAGATACACAGACGTCGTCAAAGAAGGAAAATGAGATTGTGAAGGTAGAGACACCTTTGACCACGGGTGCATCGGACAAGAAGAAGAAAAAAAAGAAGGGCAAGAAACCTTGCAAGATTCTTGATCCAGAGACTGAAATGGCTGAAATTGTCGATATTAAGGCTGTGGTAAAGACCAAGAGCAAAAAGAAAAAACCGGTTGAACCAGTGGCTGTGAGGATTGCTCGTGAGGAGAAAGCCAAGAGCAAGAATAAGGCCAAGAAAGACAAAAGTAGCTTTAACGAGTTCTCCATCTAGGTACGTGGACGATGCAGTGATATGGTGGCTACGTGATTGACAAAATGGGTGGCCGTACATGTGATAGAGGAGAGACAGGTGGTGTTCGTTATGGCAGCCTCCAAAGCTTGCTTTTAGCTAGTGTCACGCAATTCCAAGACTCGATCAAGTAGCCAGCCACTCTTGTGCACTGCCTTCTGAAGCGCTTGTTTGCTTGCGAGCGATGCAATCTCTTATACGTCCAAAGTATGAAGAGAGGTGTCGAACGCCGTCTGCCAGTTGTGACAATGTAGCAACTTATGAAATATATAAGCAAAACCGAATGAGATGTGTTATTGAGCGATCAAACATGACAATGAATGACGAGGAACCGGTCGACTGACAACGTTATTTTACATGTATTGCATCCATATTAACCAACTTCAATCATACTGCGCAATACTTGCATCCAAAGACCTTATAGTCGAGTCACAACATGCCTCTGATGTCCCCTATCTCAGTCTCCTGCATTTTTTGTGTCAATATTTACACGACTTCAAACGTCGCAGGGTACGTCAGGAAGCCGTATTCATCCACTGGCATTGAAGTTAAATGCCACGGCGTCCCAGCCACAGACGAATATCGACTACACCATTTTGTCAGCTTGCCAAAAAGTGATGGTGTCTCTTTATGCGTATGTATATACTGCAGCTGCCACTGCTTTGTCAATACAATGCCTACTACAACTCCAGCCAAAAGTCCAGCCACAAAATACATAGGACCAAAGAACCCTCTGTCCTTGTAATTCCAGAGCGAAAAGTGAAGCGTTGGTAGTGTTAAACCATCCACATAGCGTTTATGTCGAGTCATCGCTGTGTTTAAATTGGTCACCACGTCCTTGGCCATATTCTCCAGGCAAAAAGAAAAAATTAAGGATGAGGATGTCATGGACATGGCTGCACCTTTTGACGCGAAAATGTCGTTAAATAAAGCACTTTGTCGTCGTAGACTGTGAGCAACATGTATCCTAGAGAAATCGACTTGGGCCAGTACAAGACGTAATACGCTGGATAAAAAGTAACAGCAATTACAATATTAATCGTAGGTAATATTAGCAATACAATAATAATTACAATGATAGACAATAATAATAATAACAATAATAGACAATAATAATGACAATAATTTAAGCAAAAGAGTCTCTGGAGGTTGAAGACGTGTAAAGAACGTACTGTTCGGTATGATTTGCACGATCTGTGGCGCGACGCGCACGGTTTTGAGCAAGTAATAGGGCGTCACCGATGCGGCGTAAGGACCTTATATCTAGCTCTGATGTGGTGCGGCGAGGTGTGGGCTCAGACATGAAGATGGAAGTGAGACGAGAGAGATTACAATATGTAGCGACGATGGAGGATATTTCTTCTGTCTGATAAAGAAGCTCAATAGGCAAAAGGCGCAAACATTCAGTAATTTTGGGGCCAAAAACCCAAATGGTCGAAGGCATAGGGCTTAGGTTTCACATGTTGAAGTTGCGGATCAAACATGTCGCAACGTATCCTAAACAATGCGACACGACCGATACAGTTACACGTATTACATTTGAAAGATCTGCAACAGTGTCACTTTAACGTCAAGGCCATCAATATAATCTTTGGCATTAATTTCTTCATTAATTAACCTAAGACTGGTAATACCTAAGACTAAGTTAAGTGCTTAAGACTGTTGCCATTCACATAGAATGGCTTTACCAACTTCAACATCATGCAAGCAGGAAACAAGGTCCATGCGACTAGCTACACCAGCTTACAATCGCGGGGCCATGTCGTCCGAGGGTGGAGCCGGTATGTAGGGCTTGCGAGGCGGATTCAGCTTGGCCGGAGACGGGAGTGAAACAGGTTCGACACGCTGCTTCTGCGAGGCCAGCGCGTCTACCTTCTCCTGCACACGACGGCCGTAGTCTGGGTCACATTTGGTAAAATTAGCGATAGCACGAGCCTGTACAGGTTCGGACGCGTTCACCAATGAGGCGGCAATGTTGTCTGTAAGATGCTCACGAGCTGCAGCGTTTAGTGTCTTGCGGTAGAACTCGCCAACTTGTGAGTAGTTGTCATCGTCATGAGTCGAGTACTTGTTCGCTGTCGAGTAATCGCCGCGGTATGCGTGGTACTGTAGCGTCGCGTCCTCTGGCGGCCCATTCTTGCTGTTTGGAAAATAATTAGGTGCGTCGTGCATGTTACCGTCGACAACCATGAAGCCGTCCCGCTGATACGTTTGCGGCACTTTCAGTGGACGATTCACGGGGATCTGATTGTAATTGGCACCTAGACGATGGTACTGCGTGTCCGAATACGAGAACAGACGGCCCTGCAGCATCTTGTCAGGTGACGGCTCAATACCTGGCACCATGTGCGATGGAGAGAATGCAATCTGCTCAATCTCAGCAAAGTAGTTGCTTGGGTTACGGTTGAGAACGAGGCGACCGACTTCAATCAGTGGATACTTGCTATGAGGCCACACTTTGGTTACATCAAAAGGGTTGACTGTCTCCTTAGCCGCTTGTTCTGGAGTCATCACCTGAATGTATAGCGTCCATGACGGAAACTGCTTGTTAGCAATCGCGTCGTACAGGTCACGAATAGCATAATCCGGGTCAGAACCAGCCAGTTTGGCTGCTTTCTCCACAGTTAAGTTGCGAATACCTTGGTCGGTCTTAAAGTGATACTTGACATAATTGGTTTCACCTTTGGCGTTCACGTTTGCAAACGTGTGACTGCCATATCCGTTCATGAATCGAAATCCATCAGGAATCCCACGATCAGTGAAAAGAAAGCTTTGCTGATGCAATGTCTCTGGTCGTAGCGAGAAAAAGTCCCACATCATGTCATCGTCCTTAAGATGCGTGCTTGGTAGACGCTTTTGCGTATGAATGAAGCTTGGAAAGAGGATTGGATCACGAATGAAGAATATAGGCGTATTATTACCTACAAGATCCCAATTCCCTTCCTCCGTGTAAAATTTCATGGCAAAACCTCTTGGGTCGCGTACTGTATCAGCACTACCTTGTTCTCCACCTACGGTAGAGAAACGAATGGCTACAGGTGTGCGCTTACCGATACTACTAAAAAGCTTTGCACTGCAATAGCTCCTAATATCACTGTGCGTTACTTCAAAGTAGCCAAAGGCACCACCACCTTTAGCGTGTACGACACGCTCTGGGATACGTTCACGGTCAAAATGTGCTAAATGATCAATTAAAGCAAAGTCTTCTACTAATAAAGGACCTAATGGACCAGCAGTAGCTGATGCTGTAAGTCCATGAAGTGGAATTGGAGCACCAGTGCTTGTAGTTGCAGTTGTACACTTTTGTACCATTAGTCAATGATCGTGATACTCGTTAGCTAGCAAATTCAAGAATGAGGAGGCTTGAAACGGTGTCTCGATAACGTGTACTTTCCGGAATGGTGTGGTAGACATTAATATCCTTTCACTTGTCATATATATTACTTAACCCTATAATTAGCCTCGATATCCTCATATCATGCTCGACCAATTAAAAGGCACATTCACAAACAAAAGATACTGCAACAAGTACTCAAGGAATTTCAGGCTGCTACTATTCCTTATGACTCAATAGTCAATAGCTGCTTTTGTAGAAGGCGCTCTAATATTATACATGTAGATACAACGCCTGCGTAGATTAATCAAAGCAGCAAAAGTTAAAGCGTGGCTCTTGTGTCTTACATAATGACCTTGGAATCTTCACGCCGTGTACTAATTGCATTAAGATCCTTGTGGCCTTGGACATATCAATGCAAAGGACGAGAGAGGTCTCGTCGTAGTTTCAACTTTGTCTTTTTCCGCTTACACAAGCCAGATGCAAGCTTCATTTACTTTATCTAGAAGAAAGATTGCCGCTTTTGCACCGTGGCTTAATGAACCACGTCCACAACTCGAGTAGAAAGTCGAGCATCATTTGCATGCGTTTCATTGCGTAGAAATATCATTTTCACGGTCTTACCAACGACGACGACCTTTGGCCATCGAGACACGGTCTTTGAATCATCGTACAGTAGTTAACTAGAGAAATATGCGGACTACATCTACACCAAGCTTACGCATAAGCGTGTATGGAATGAGCCACTACGAGGACGATATTTACTTTGAAACGGTGATGGTTGAGATGGGTGATGCTGACGGTATGGTGTCGGGTGCCTGCCACACCACTGCGAATACTATCCGCCCTGCGCTGCAGCTTATCAAAACGATGCCGAACCGTCCCATTGTATCAAGCATCTTGTTCATGTGTCTTGAAGATGGCGTGCGAATCTACGGCGATTGCGCCGTCAACACGGACCCGAACGCACAGGACCTTGCACAGATTGCCGTGACGAGCGCTGAAAGCGCAGATGCATTTGGTCTGATTCCAAAGGTGGCACTGCTGTCGTACGCGACAGGTGACTCGAACTCTGGCCCAGACAAGGTACGTAAGGCGACAGAAGTTGCCAAGTCCAGACCTGGACATCTACGGTCCAATTCAGTACGATGCTGCTGTGGACGAGTCAATTGCAAAGACGAAGCTGAAGGCGATTCTTAGCGGTGCTAAGGTTGGCGGCCAAGCGAATGTGCTGATCTTCCCTGATCTAAATAAGGGTAACGACACCGACTGCAACATAATATTGTAATAAGACCAAGTAAATGTCATATCAATGTGCGCAGCTCGTAAATGGGCGTTCGCGTCTGTCAAATGTTGCCTGTCGTCGGTTGTATCACGAGTCGATCATGAGCGGGTCTAGTAAGCGTAATCACGAGGGACCCGTTTGTCACATGCGTGACGTTGACGACGCAGCATGAATTTGGTG